CTCGCATTGCGCAACAATGGTGTAACAGGCGAAAACCGGCGGCTTTCTTGTACGATTCCGGTCGACTGGCATCTTCGACGGACCCGATGATACGGTAATACGGCGATAAGCTTAACCCTTAGCACTCCGAACCATCCTGGACTGCCACTTTTCGGCAGAAACGGGCATTTACAGACCCTCGTATTATTTAGTACGGTTTTGGAACTAACATATTATAATGATATTGGACTTATATGAATTGGCTGAAATCGAGAAATTTGCGAAAGAATCAATATTTTATTTTTATAATTTTGTTATTGTTCGTTTTGTAATTTTGTTTTGTTGTTGTAATCGCTATCTATGCGAACTCTTTCTCTCGTCGCCTTGTTGCTTCGACGATATCGCTATCACTGCTATCGAAACGATAGACTCACTGTAGAAGAAAACCTTCTACAGTTAGAGTCTTTCTAACATATCTGTATAAACGTCTATCCGGAGCTCGTCTTCACTACTACTTGTGTCAAGAGACTCATTCGTGTTTGAACGTTTTGCCATTGTTCTAATAAAAAATATGAATAAATACATAGGTTGAAAATTTCTAATTGTTATTACTAACTCACAAGATGATATTTACCAAAAAAACTTTTACCAAATAATTTGTTTACCAAGAGAAAAATCACTTCTCCGATTTTCTCACTCGTTAGATCTATCTATACCGCTCGACGCTTCGAACCAGATTGAGTTCAGCTGTGAAAATCTTTTCCTCCAGATTTTATGATTATAAATCTCACTGTACAGTGCGTGCTATGTTCGCATACCGATCTTTCTTCTACAAACTTGCCCCATCGCTCTTTTCAAATGGCGCCTTTGAAGTGCTCGGACCGTCGTGAGCACGCCTCTCACGTTCTCTCGTCAAAACCCGCTGACATTTCTTGTATATATCTTAGTAATTTTACTATATTTTGATTTGATTTCTTGTGCCATTTCAAGAGAAAACTTCAGGGAGACATGCATGTCTCAAAAAGTTCCACTGAAATAACTCAATTTCCCGTAATCGCTAATAAACTTTAACCTTTTAGGCACGACGCGCCACTATAGTGGCTTTCGCGGATGTCATTTTTCAAAACGACACGCCACTATAGTGGCTTTCGCGGATGTCATTTTTCAAAACGACACGCCACTATAGTGGCTTTCGCGGATGTCATTTTTCAAAACGACACGCCACTATAGTGGCTTTCGCGGATGTCATTTTTCAAAACGACACGCCACTATAGTGGCTTTCGCGGATGTCATTTTTCAAAACGACACGCCACTATAGTGGCTTTCGCGGATGTCATTTTTCAAAACGACACGCCACTATAGTGGCTTTCGCGGATGTCATTTTTCAAAACGACACGCCACTATAGTGGCTTTCGCGGATGTCATTTTTCAAAACGACACGCCACTATAGTGGCTTTCGCGGATGTCATTTTTCAAAACGACACGCCACTATAGTGGCTTTCGCGGATGTCATTTTTCAAAACGACACGCCACTATAGTGGCTTTCGCGGATGTCATTTTTCAAAACGACACGCCACTATAGTGGCTTTCGCGGATGTCATTTTTCAAAACGACACGCCACTATAGTGGCTTTCGCGGATGTCATTTTTCAAAACGACACGCCACTATAGTGGCTTTCGCGGATGTCATTTTTCAAAACGACACGCCACTATAGTGGCTTTCGCGGATGTCATTTTTCAAAACGACACGCCACTATAGTGGCTTTCGCGGATGTCATTTTTCAAAACGACACGCCACTATAGTGGCTTTCGCGGATGTCATTTTTCAAAACGACACGCCACTATAGTGGCTTTCGCGGATGTCATTTTTCAAAACGACACGCCACTATAGTGGCTTTCGCGGATGTCATTTTTCAAAACGACACGCCACTATAGTGGCTTTCGCGGATGTCATTTTTCAAAACGACACGCCACTATAGTGGCTTTCGCGGATGTCATTTTTCAAAACGACACGCCACTATAGTGGCTTTCGCGGATGTCATTTTTCAAAACGACACGCCACTATAGTGGCTTTCGCGGATGTCATTTTTCAAAACGACACGCCACTATAGTGGCTTTCGCGGATGTCATTTTTCAAAACGACACGCCACTATAGTGGCTTTCGCGGATGTCATTTTTCAAAACGACACGCCACTATAGTGGCTTTCGCGGATGTCATTTTTCAAAACGACACGCCACTATAGTGGCTTTCGCGGATGTCATTTTTCAAAACGACACGCCACTATAGTGGCTTTCGCGGATGTCATTTTTCAAAACGACACGCCACTATAGTGGCTTTCGCGGATGTCATTTTTCAAAACGACACGCCACTATAGTGGCTTTCGCGGATGTCATTTTTCAAAACGACACGCCACTATAGTGGCTTTCGCGGATGTCATCTCTCTCTGTCTCTTATACACATCTAGATGTGTATAAGAGACAGGTATCAGACTCTGTACAGTACATATCAGACTCTGCCGTCCAGAGAAATAGCCTCGCGCAGAATTCAGCCGTACCTAAAAGGTTAATGTCCCACGAGGGGGGACATCCGAGTGATATGCTAGAATTACGATGTCCCACGAGAGGGGACCGCGGAGTGCAAAGGGTNGAATCGAGTGCGGCTGACGCGAGGCGGCCCAGCCAACCAGCGCGCGAAGCCCAGTTCCGCTCATTGGCTCGATCGCCTCGCGCCAGCCGAGCTCGCCTCTCATTGGTCACTGTTTTTCGTTGATAACTCGTTAACGGTGCCTCGGAGAACATTTTTGTAAAGGAAAAAGTTGCTTCGAATGGCCCGAGGAACCCGCCACTTTCGGATCGCGAGACATTTTTGGGACACCCTGTATATACAAACAGAATATACAGTATCAGACTCTGCCGTCCAGAGAAATAGCCTCGCGCAGAATTCAGCCGTACCTAAAAGGTTAATGTCCCACGAGGGGGGACATCCGAGTGATATGCTAGAATTACGATGTCCCACGAGAGGGGACCGCGGAGTGCAAAGGGTAAAATACGGTAATACGGTAATGCGAATCGAACGTAATCGGGGGACGATTAAACGTAACGATTCCCGAGCAGCTCTCTCGCTCGCGTCCGCTCGCATCGCGCCAACCGCGCTCCAAATCGCGAACAGAGTGTGTCTGTGACTCCGCCGCGCGATAAGTGGACCGAGACCGAGTCCTGTCTCGTCGCAACGAGCCTTTTGTACGAGCCTCCGTGATCTGCCCGGATAATCACCGTAGTTCCTCTCTTTTCGCGTGTATCTCTGCGCCGATCGCCTCGCTCCTTTCTTCGTTCGCCGATCTCCTTTTTTTTCCATCGTCTCTTTTCTCCCTTTGTTAATTAGAGGAGACAGGTAACGGTAGCGCTCCGGTTCGTCGCGTTCACACAAATTTGCCGACCTGGATGACCCGGGCGGGTTAATTCAGAGCATTATGCGGGTACTTTGACGGAATAACGATCGGAGGTATACCGTCGCGCTGAATCGCGAATCGCTGGGTCCTGTCGCTTCGGTTCTTTCGTGTCGCGTTCGCAATCTTAATACTAGATCTACCAAGGGGGATTAAAATGACTTGATTCTTATCATTATTATTCATTTTCAGTATGTTTCGTTTTCTAAAATTTTGTATGACTTTTCTTCAAATATGCGAATAACTAACTTTGTGAAACGGTTTTCTTTTTCTTTTTCGTCGTTTTGATGTAAAATTTTATGCAGTATACTGCGATGAGTCTCATATTATGTTTAATTATATTTAATTTAAATATAATATTCTCATATTATTTTTGTACAGTTCAAATAGATTTTTAGGAAACTAAATATATTTTCGTATATCTCTATGATGTACAAAATTACCATAAGAGAGGAAATTCCATAAGACCGAAATTCTTCGGCTAATTCGTTTTGACAAGAAAAATGAAACAAACGAACAGATAAATTTGCATTAGTTTCAGAAGTGTGGAATAAATTCATCGAATATAGCCAAATGTGTGTTATAAACCAGGAGCTGTCATTACAGTTGATGAACAATTATTCCCGACCAAAGCCAGATGTAGATTTACGCAGTGCATGCCAAACAAGCCGAATAAGCTTCGTACAAAATTCTGTTTGGCGTCGGATGTAAAAGTAAATATCTTGTAAATGCATTTCCCGGACAGAAATGAGATTATCCGTACCTTTAGGTGAATTTGTCGTCGCAAAACTTATGGAATCATATATTGGTTGCAGAAGAACAGTGACAACAGATAATTTCTTTATAAGTCTGTCATTAGCAACAAAACTGCTAACAAAAAGAATTTCCTTAGTTGGCACCATTAGACAAAATAAGAGAGAACTACCTAAACTTGCAAAATTAAAAAAGGATAATATGACAATACTACCTCGACAATACTTTACAAAACAGAAAATTGTGCTCTTATCATATACAAGAGTAAACTCGATAAAAAAAAGTACTGTTACTGAGCTCGAAACATAAGCCTTTATCTGAAGCTGTGGTATTTTATAACAATAGATATGACAGATGACGTACACTGTTACAAAACCAAATGCATATTTCCATGTAACGTAAACGGTGTCAAATAGCATATTGTGTTAATAATAAAACGAAGAATATTTGTGATACGTGTCACAAACGCGTCTGTGGTACACGCTCTGTTAAAATAATTGTAATTATAAAAAATGTCTTTGACTTTTGAGCGTAATTATTTTTAAAATTATTATTATTACGTTATTGTTTTTTTTAGGATATTTTATTTTACTATTTTAGTGAAAATATTATTATTTAGTAAAAAATAGCAAAAATTGCTGTCTTTTCTTAGATGACTTATTAATTTTGAGAACAAGTCATTTTGACCCCTCTGATAAAAGTAGATATACGTTAATCGTCGCTAGTTCTTGTGTTGGGGGGGGGGGGGAAGCCCGAGTGAGCCGTTAAAATAAGGTTGCTTTTTTATATCGAGAAACATTGATGATACTTTTCGTCACTTACCATGCATATTCTTCGACATTTTGTTTGCGTTGCATTTGATCGACGTTTACTGAAATAATAAATCCCGTTCTCCGTGAACCTCTCGGTCGGCGGTGTTGATCGACGCGCGGTATGGCATTTTGTTTGTTCGATCTATGACAAAAAAGAAAACGGAGTTTTTTCTTTCATAATGGAAACTACGCGTCGCATGAACCTACATCCTGTCTAGAAAAATGTAAAAAGAATGAGACCACGTGGTGGCGTGAAATTTTTATTTCCATAAAAATCGCTCCATTGTTTTCAGAGCCGCGTGTTATCAGTCTACTCGCATTTTTTTTTAAAACAGCTGTTCGTACGACGCGTAGCTCTATTATGAAACGAGCTCTTTATTCTCTATTCTGGATCGAAGGAAAAAGATGCCAGACTGCGCCGCTCGACACCGTCGATCGTCACGGAGAACAAGATTTATTATCTCATTAAACGTCGATTAAAAAGCACCGGAAAAAAAGTCTACGTATCCTTGAAATGTCAGAGAATATGCACGGAAACCGACGAAAAGCTTCATCGACGTTTTACCGTCGAAAAAAATTGCCGAGGAACATCCTCATTCGAACAGATTCGCTCCCCAATTAGGGAAGCGTAACGAAAATTTCGCTTTCCGAGTTTGCGTCCAAAGTCCGACGCGTCCCGAAACGTTCCGAATCGTTCCGACTCATCGACGACACTTTCCTCGACCGTTACGTTAACGACAGCGTTTCGTAACGGTGGCTACGCGAGATAATGTCTCCGCGAGAGCAGCTGGCATTTAGCTGCCTGCGGCACAAGAGTACATATTCGCGAGCGCATCGCCAGGGTCGCGGTAAAAAAATTCACTCGCACCTAGGTTCATCGAGTTAAATTCGTTGCTTACGAAGCTCGTTGCCCGTTGCTGGCTCGTTATGAAACGCGTCGTTCGAACCGTCGAGACAAGCGAAAGACGCGCGACAGTTGCGCGATCGAAAAGCGCGATCGCGAAATCACCGGGGAACGATTTTGAAATTTCGCCGGCGGTAAATCGTCCGGCGATATTTAACCTTTTAGGTACGGCTGAATTCTGCGCGAGGCTATTTCTCTGGACGGCAGAGTCTGATATGTACTGTACAGAGTCTGATACTGTATATTCTGTCTGTATATACAGGATGTCCCAAAAATGTCTCGCGATCCGAAAGTGGCGGGTTCCTCGGGCCATTCGAAGCAACTTTTTCCTTTACAAAAATGTTCTCCGAGGCACCGTTAACGAGTTATCAACGAAAAACGGTGACCAATGAGAGGCGAGCTCGGCTGGCGCGAGGCGATCGAGCCAATGAGCGGAACTGGGCTTCGCGCGCTGGTTGGCTGGGCCGCCTCGCGTCAGCCGCACTCGATTCTTATTGGTCGCTGTTTTTCGTTAATAACTCGTTAACGGTGCCTCGGAGAACATTTTTGTAAAGGAAATAGTTGCTTCAAATGATCCGAGGAACCCGCCATTTCCGGACTACGAGACATTTTCGGGACACCCTGCAGACTGTTGTAAATCGATGCGAAGACAAAAGAAGTGTGAAACGATGCATATGAAGACGATTATTTGGTTCAAACGATGAGCGAGTGAGCTACTAGAGCAAGCCACTATAGTGGCGCGTCGTGCCTAAAAGGTTAATTATCCGAGATCGCGATAACGGTGTTATACTCGGCCGATCTGCGAGTATAATTTTTCAATCAGATCGTCCATATCGGCGGTTCGCCGATTAGCATGGTAATGGGGCGGCCGAGTCCTGGAAACCCACTCGTCGAAGGTGCACGTGGGACGACGTCGATGGAGCTCGTCGAACGCGCCGATGATCGATCGCTTCCGACGTCGTATTCGGGTGGAACCAGGAAATCGGGAAACTGGGAAATCGAGACGCTCGGCCGCCGTATAAATGATTTATCGAGCGCTTGTCCGAGTCCACGTGATCCGGGAATTGTCCGTAAATTGTCCGCGAGCCAATAAACCATCGCGGCCGCTGATTTATTCGAGTCGCGCGATTCAAGGGCCGAGACTTTCTAAAAGGATCCTTCATTCATACGAGAACCTGTTCGTTATTTCGATTTTATTGGCAACCCGAGCGAGCGAGCGAGCGATCGAACGGGCAAACGAGGGAACGAACCAGCGGGAGAAAAACGGAGAAAGAGGGGCGACGATGGGATCGAAAGTGTTTCGTCGAAGCTCGGCAGGCCTTCGGACGTTTCGCAACGANCTGATATGTACTGTACAGAGTCTGATACTGTATATTCTGTCTGTATATACAGGATGTCCCAAAAATGTCTCGCGATCCGAAAGTGGCGGGTTCCTCGGGCCATTCGAAGCAACTTTTTCCTTTACAAAAATGTTCTCCGAGGCACCGTTAACGAGTTATCAACGAAAAACGGTGACCAATGAGAGGCGAGCTCGGCTGGCGCGAGGCGATCGAGCCAATGAGCGGAACTGGGCTTCGCGCGCTGGTTGGCTGGGCCGCCTCGCGTCAGCCGCACTCGATTCTTATTGGTCGCTGTTTTTCGTTAATAACTCGTTAACGGTGCCTCGGAGAACATTTTTGTAAAGGAAATAGTTGCTTCAAATGATCCGAGGAACCCGCCATTTCCGGACTACGAGACATTTTCGGGACACCCTGCAGACTGTTGTAAATCGATGCGAAGACAAAAGAAGTGTGAAACGATGCATATGAAGACGATTATTTGGTTCAAACGATGAGCGAGTGAGCTACTAGAGCAAGCCACTATAGTGGCGCGTCGTGCCTAAAAGGTTAATTATCCGAGATCGCGATAACGGTGTTATACTCGGCCGATCTGCGAGTATAATTTTTCAATCAGATCGTCCATATCGGCGGTTCGCCGATTAGCATGGTAATGGGGCGGCCGAGTCCTGGAAACCCACTCGTCGAAGGTGCACGTGGGACGACGTCGATGGAGCTCGTCGAACGCGCCGATGATCGATCGCTTCCGACGTCGTATTCGGGTGGAACCAGGAAATCGGGAAACTGGGAAATCGAGACGCTCGGCCGCCGTATAAATGATTTATCGAGCGCTTGTCCGAGTCCACGTGATCCGGGAATTGTCCGTAAATTGTCCGCGAGCCAATAAACCATCGCGGCCGCTGATTTATTCGAGTCGCGCGATTCAAGGGCCGAGACTTTCTAAAAGGATCCTTCATTCATACGAGAACCTGTTCGTTATTTCGATTTTATTGGCAACCCGAGCGAGCGAGCGAGCGATCGAACGGGCAAACGAGGGAACGAACCAGCGGGAGAAAAACGGAGAAAGAGGGGCGACGATGGGATCGAAAGTGTTTCGTCGAAGCTCGGCAGGCCTTCGGACGTTTCGCAACGATCGCGGCGCGAACGTACCTACTCGTATGTAGGTCTCGAGGGTTTTTGGGAGTAGAATGTCTCATTTGAAACGTTCGCGTCGAACGATCCCCGTAATCTGGTAGAAATCCGAAGGTAGTATCGGTACACGCTTTCTCGAGGGCGCCGTGAAAGAATGAAACGCGTGAAAGTTTCGGGGCACCGGTGAAAAGTCTCGCCGTACCTTCGACGAAAAAGTTCAAGATTAACCGAGCAACACGGCGCAGGAAGCCAAGAGAGCTCCGCCGCGTATCGAACGTTCCGAGAGAGCGAAAGGACCCGAAGCTGCCGGTAGAAATTGTGAAATCTGAATGTACTTACGCGAAGGTGACCTAAAAGTGAAACCGTTTTGCGAGCCGCGTGGAAAAAGCTAAAACTCGGGGATCCCGCTTTCCATCGTTTTGATTTTTAACGGCGAGGACGCGCGCGCGCCCACTGCCCCGGCGACACCTAATCGACGGCAAAGCGGAGAAACGATTCTCGTTGCGTTGACATCGGTGATTAACCCTTTCGCTAAGGAGCGCTTGCGTGAAAATGTGATCGCTGTGAACGGAGCGTATTGTTCAGTAGTTGGCACTGAAGTACGGAATGCTACGAAGCAATCAGAAGTCGTGTCTCTTGCTCTCTAAATTTTGCAATGATATTTATTGTATTATATCGATATATATTATTATATATTATATTATATATATATTTATTATATGATATTGATATATATGATATTTATTATATTATATTCGGTAATATCGCCTTACCTTCTAAAATATAAAAATTTATGATCATAATTTATTTTCTTAAGTATTATATTATAATGTTCATATAATATCCTTTAATACAACGAAATTACTAATGTATTTAAAGCCGAACGTAATTTTAATAATCAACTTTGGTATGATAAAGTTGAAAGCATGGAACCACACGTAACCCAACATCACATTGTGATTTTAGAATTATAAATTCGTGGTATATATCCGTCGCCGGCGATGTTCTAAAGAAGACTGAAACTGTGTATCGTTAGAATAAAACACAATATCGTCTTGTCGATAGTGTTATATTTCACGATAGTCAATCGTTTAAGGCATGCAGCGTTGCCCAAAAATGTCTCGCAATCCGAAAATGGCGGGTTCCTCGGATCACTCGAAGCAACTTCTTCCTTTACAAAAATGTTCCCCGAGGCACCGTTAACGAGTTATTAACGAAAAACAGTAACCAATAAGAATCGAGTGCGGCTGACGCGAGGCGGCCCGGCCAACCAGCGCACGAAGCCCAGTTCCGCTCATCGGCTCGGTCGCCTCGCGCAGGCTGAGCTCGTCTCTCATTGGTCACTGTTTTTCGTTGATAACTCGCTAACGGTGCCTCGGAGAAAATTTTTGTAAAGGAAAAAGTTGCTTCAAATGACCCGAGGAACCCGCCACTTTCGGATCGCGAGACATTTTTGGGATACCCTGTATATAAAGTACATATACGCTCTTCGTACCCGCGCGCCCAATTTACCAGAGCGTATATATACGCTCTTCGTATATGAATGGTCATTCTTCGAGGGCGTATACATATACGCCCATCGGAACGAAAGGGTTAATAATGAACGTCTGTTCGTTTAGCAATGCGACAACCTTCGTTGCGCGATGCGAAAATCGTCGACAGCAATCGGAGCGCGAACAAAGAGAGATAGAAAAGAAAAAGAGAAACGTTATAACAAATGGTGTGGATATGATGTGACATAATGCAGACAAACCTGCAGAAATCCAGGTA